CCGGCCACGCCCTCCACAGGCCCCGCCCCGCCCCGCCCGCGCCCTGAGCCGCTCGCTCTGTCCTCTTACTTGTATGGGCGCAGCCCCCCACGCGCACCTGGGCATCATCGATTCTGAACGCCCAGCGGCCGGGCACGCCCACGTTGGTGGTGGTCTCCACCTCTGCCATGTCCGCTGTGCGTGAGCCGGGGATGCTGAAGTAACGCCGCCCATCCCCCGCGTTGAAGCCGGCCTGGGTGGGTGTGGAGAGTGGAGGGCAGGTGTGGGCTGGGTCCGCAGGGCTCCCTAGTGTTGCTGACACCCATGTCCCCCGGTTAGCCAAGGTCAAAGAGATCATGTGGGAGAAGGCCTTGTAAGCCCGGGAGCTCTAAGATTTAGGGGTATCCTCCCTGCTCCCCGCACCCCAAAACAGAGCACACGTTGTCCCTGCTCTGGTCAGCAGCCTCCCGGCCAGGCCCTGATGGCTGGGAACATTGTTGGGTCCTGGCACTCTCCTGCAGCTGCCTGCTTGTTTCTGGGTCACCTCTAAGGCCCAGCGAGTGCAACCTGAGGCGGAAGTAGATGGGGGGGGGGTCGTGCTCAGCCAGAAGGACCTGCAGGCGCCCCTGGGCGCTGACACTTGACCGTGTCCTCCACACCTGGGACTTCCTCCTGGCCACAGTCCCCTGAGCTACAGCCCGGCCAGACCCAGGGGCAGTCAGAGATTCCAGGACCCCTGAATCTGAGAGGCCAGGCCCTGTGGGTCAGGACAAAGGTGCGTTGGGCACAAGGATGTGTTTGTCATTCAGGGCTGTGAGAGGCTGGGACCGCCTCACGCTGGCCTCTGCCCAGTAGTGTGAGGGTGTGTGTGTGGGGTGGGGGGGTCTGCCTGCCTCATCAGCTCGTGACAGCCCTGGAAGTGGGGAGCAGGGGCCCCTACCTGGGCCGCGATGCCCCCCAGGCCAGTGGCGTTGCCTCCGCTGCTGGCGTGCGTGCCCGTGGTCCACGTGATGGACTCGTAGTTGAAGATGGTGAACGAGAGCTTGCCATCGGTGATGAGGACAGTCTGGAACGTGTTGACCTGCCAAGGAGGGGGGACCTGAACAGGGTCCTGCAGCCCCTCATCCCTGCTCCAAGGCCCTGCCCGGTCCCCCAGCCCTGCACACTGTCATCACCCACTGACCCCTCGTCTGCCTCCCCAACTAGACGGTTGGTTAGACACAGGGCAGGACCTCGATGGCCAAATCTTCCATCCTCTGCTGTGTCCCTGTGCCTGAGGCCTTGGCACAGGCCAGTCCCTCCCCAATAATTGTTGTCTGGCAAAAGAGTGAAGCACACTGAGGGGATGTGGGGCCCATGGACTTTGGGAGCAGACACTGTCCCCTGCGGGGGACGGGGGCACACAGCGTTAGTGCTTATGTGACCAAATCCACAAAACTGCCTCAGTGAATAGGACAAGAACATGCAAGTACAGGGGAGAGACAAAAAGAGGAATCAAGGAAAACTGTTTTTAATAATTAGGTTTTATGGTTTTCATGGAATTCTATTCCGCCAAAATGTTAGTGAGTTGCTATATGTGAGGTGCTATTTCAGTTAGGGCAAAGGGTGGGATCGTTTATCAAAGGATCTTAGGACAAATAGGAAATTCTAAAAAAAAAAAAAAAAGAATAAAATGAGAGCTTTACATAACTCATGAAAATAAATTCGAATCAAGTAAAGTTGTAAATGAAACCGTAGGGCCTCTGGGGGAAGGACGTTTGTTAATGCGAAACCAAAAAGGAGATTCATACATTGGCTACAAAAAGTTCTGAATATAAAAAAGCGCCATCAACTCAAACTCAATGGCAAACAGCAAAGTGAAAAGTGTATTTATAATGTGAGGCAGATAAAACTGATGACGTCCTTAATTCAGGAAGAGCTACATACAGATCAGTAAGAATCAGACCGAAACGATTACAGAAAAATTGGCAAAGGCTGTGTGCATAGACTCATTACAATAGAATACAACTAGCTGATAATACTCGGACAAATTCAGCATTGGGACATCCCTTTAGCCTGTGTAGTTAGCAAGGAGGGGGAAAGCTAGTGTGCGTGACTGCGGTGCAGAGAAATGGGCACACCTGCTGTGGCTCATGCGAGCATGCGTGGTTACATTTTTGAGGGGGATCTCGGCATTCTGCAGGCATTAGCCTCCCTTCTAGAGACACATGCCAGGATATGATCTCACAATGAACGCGGGCGTCAGTGTCCTTCTCAGGGCCCTTGCCCCTGAGGATGCGGCCGACCCTGGGCCGATGTGCGGACATTGCATGTGGCAGGAGATCATACGGTGCACAGGAACACCTCATTTTATTGCATTTTGCTTTATTGTGCTTTGCAAATAATGTGCTTTTTAGAAATTGAAGGTGTGTGGCAACCCTGCATTCAGCACGTCCATAGGTGCCATTTTCCCAACAGCATGTGCTTACTCCATGTCTCTGTGTCACATTTTGGTAATTCTCAAAATATTTCAAACTTTTCCATTATTACTTTATTTGTCATGGTGATCTGTAGTCAGTGATCTTTGATGTTACTACTGTAATTTTTTGGGGTGCCCAGGAACTGCGCCCATATAAGACGACAAACTTAATCAATAGATATTGTGTGTGTTCTGACTGCTCCACCGACTGGCTGTTGCCCCTCTCTACCTCTCCTTGGGCCCCCCCTGTTCCCTAAGATACAACAGTGTTGAAATTAGGCCAGTGAATAACCCCACAACGGCCTCTAGGTGTTCAAGTGAAAGGAAGAGTCGCGTGTGTCTCACTTTAAATCAAAAGCTGCAAATGATTAAGCTTAGTGAGGGAAGCACATGGAAAGCCAAGACAGGCTGAAAATTAGACCTCTTGTAGCAGTTAGCCAAGTTGTCAGTGCAAAGGAAACATTCTTGAAAGAACTTGAAAGCGCTACTCCAGTGAACACACAAATGGTAAGAAAGCGAGACAGCCTGTTGCTGATATGGAGAAGGTTTTAGTGGTCTGGACAGAAGATCAAACCAGCCACAACATTCCCTTAGCCAAAGCCTCATCCAAAGCAAGGTTCTAATTTCAATTCTGTGAAGGCTGAGAGGTGAACAAGCCGCACAAGGGAAGCCTGCAGCTGGCAGAGGTCGGTTCACGAGGTTTAAGGAAAGAAGCCGTCTCCACAACATAAAGTGCGAGGTGAAGTAGCAAGTTATCCGGAAGGTCTAGTAAGAGAATTCATGCAGGTGGCTGCAGCAAACCACAGGTTTTCAGTGTAGACAAAACCGCCTCATCTTGGAAGAAGATGCATCTGGGAGTTTCACAGCTAGAGACGTCAGTGCCTGGCTTCAAGCTTCACAGGACAGGCTGGCTCTCCTCGTAGGGGCTCATGCAGCTGGGGACTGGGCGCTCGCCTTTGGGAAGGCAAGCCTAGTGCTAAGCTCTGGAGACCACGAGGAGGCGATGGCCGTGAAGGCGGGTAGAGGCGAGTCCAGGGAAGGGCAGGGCTGCGGCCGGCCCTGCGAGTGGGTGAGGCCCATGCGTTTGAGGAGAGTGAGGAGCTTAACTGTCACTGTTTGTTGATCAACCTGCTTCCGGAAGTGCTGCTGGAAAGAGGGCTGGCTCTCCAAGTCTCCCAGCTTACAGCCCCATGTCCAGCCCAAACTCAATCCTGACTCCTTGTCTTATGAGGAAGTGACGTCGATAGTATTTTCTAAAGGACTTGTGATGCGAGTTTGAAAACAGTAGGTTAAGTTTCCCTCTGTCGACTCTCTGGGCCCCTCCTGGTTCCCAGGCATAAAGGTATTAGGTAAAATGAATCTGCAGAGGTGAAATAATACTTTTTAAAACGATGTAGAACATGTAAGAATGAGGAAAAAGCTCATAATGTTGCTGAGTGAAAAAAAACTCACAAAAGAGCTTGTTCTTGGCGTTTCTATTTATTTTGTAAAGTGTGGGTCAATGTACGCTAGGAAATGTTTAATTTAAAAGGTAACTACCGCATTACCTTTTGGTAGTGGAATTATAGATTTTTAAAGCTTTTTGTTACAAAGTGTGTTACAAATTGGTGATAATAAAAAACAAAACTTACAAAATATCAGTGGGCTCCATCCGAACAGAAGTTCACTGGTGTGAAAATTTATTTGTGGTGCTGTTTACAGAAACAGCCCATCTTTCCTGATTCATTGTCACCCTCCTTTTAAAAAATCCAACAGTGAGTGTCTCACTCTGGAGATAGCTGCTAACTACCTGCTTTCTTTCTCTTTTTCCTTCTGTTTCAGCTGCTGGAGAGCTCAGTCTGTGAGTATCCCGTCACTCGGCTCATACACCCCTTCCCCGACTTTCTCCCTAACTTCACGGTTCCCCTGAGTCCCACTGCTGGGGACCCCGGGCTCCATGTCCTCATGCTCTCTGTGCACAGTCACCTCAGCACACCCGGGACTTAGCCTGTCACTTGCACCCCTTCAACCCTGAGCTGGCCTCACCTGCCCCCGTGCACCCCGCCCACCCCAGTGCACATGACAGGAAGCCAGGCGCTGTGCTGACTGCTTCTGTCTCTTCTCCTGCTGCCCAGTCACGTCCGCCCCTAATGGCTGCTCTGAACAGGCCCCCATGTGGCCAAGCCCCCGCCCACTGGCTGGCACAACAGTCTCAGGGAGAGCCCTTCCCTGCTGGCTGGGCTGTGCTGGGCACTTGGTGCCTGGCATCTTTACCACTCAGTCATTTGTGTCACCCTTTAGGAGAGGTGTGTCCTGTCTGCTCTGTCAGGGCTGTCTCCCCAGTGCCCGCCCACCAGAGGTGCCCTTAAACAAACTTTTATTAAATGAGTGAACAAACAGCTCTGAAAATGCCACTCTGTACCCAGCGGCTCTTCTCTAGAGAGTGACTGGTCTCATGCGTGGTTGTGCCCCACAGGAGGGGGCAGCTGCGCTCCTCAATAAGGGGACCTGCCCGCCAGAACTTTCCATGCTGGGCAAGGTGCTCGGTCATTCTCGGGTTTTTTGATGTTTGGCACCATCAAGGGCTAACGGATAGGACAGGATAACTTCCTGTTTAACTCTTGTGTACTGATGCACTCCCAGTGGAAACCCTGACATCACTCGCTTCTCTACTGGGGCATTTGGGGTTTTCCTGGAGGACCGGGGAGGGTCAAAGCCTCGTCCTCCTCCAACCGAGCTCTGTGACTCGGGTGAGTGACTCCCAGGCCTGAGCCCCATTTTTTCCTTTGGGGCATGGACCACTAACTGCGTTGGACCCAACTCAGCAAGGCGGGGCCCTGGAGGGAGACCCTGGGCCCCACCTGCACGTGTTCCCTTACCCAGGACAAAAACTCACGGGGGAGGAGGAGCTGCCTCCAAAGAAGGTCACACGGTACCAGGTGGCGATGAAAACCCAGGTGGCGGTGAAGCCCGGGAGCTCGGGGAAGTAGCGCCTGATGTCCCCTGTGGCTCTGCGCAGCGTGGCCGGGTCAGCGGTCTCCCGGTAGAACACGTTACCTGCACGCCGGTTGTCCACGTCTGCCCAGAAGGCCGCCACCACACAGCGGTCCTTGGCAATGGGGAAGGCCACCGGGGTGAACTGAGAAACCTCCTTCAGGAAGGAGATGATCCCGTTGTTGTTCACCTGTCAGGACAGGAAGCCAGAGAGGGGACCGATGGGGGCTGTGGGCGGCGGGCGGCACCAGGCCCCCTCTGAAGCGAGGCTGAGCCAGCCTGAGCAAGGCAGCCTCTGGATGGCCTGACAGTTCCTGGTCCCAGACAGGCGACCCCTCAACCTGCTCCATCCCCTCCCAGACAGGCCGTGTCCTTGGTACAGTGGTACAGTGCCGGGCCCTGGGCTGTGCTGCAGGGCCGGGTAGACCCCAGTGTGGGCCCTGCTCTTGGGGGGCCTTCTCAGCAGCCCCAGTTCCTCAGGACCGCCCCAGCCAGGGGCCTCAGGAGGGCAGGGTCAGGCCCTGCCTCTGATCTGGAAAGTGGTGTGAGGGGAGGAGTGCCCACAGGGCAGAGGCGGAGGTGGGCAGGCCAGTGTGGCTAGGGGGGCCTGGAAGGGTCTCGATGACCCAATGGGGCTTCTGTGCTCAGCATTCCAGGCCGTGGGAGCCCTGGAAGGCTCCTGAAGAGGGGGAGCAGCACCTCTGCAGCTGGACACAGCTGGTCCTCACCTGGCCCCCCCACTCACTGTGCAACCAGAAGGCACAGGCTTTGCATCTCTGTGCCCCTCCGATACGGGCGAACATTGGTTCTGGCCTCGCAGTGCGGGGTGGGGGTTCATGAGTTAATGATCACAGAGCCAGGCTCTGGACTGTCCTCGTGTGCTCCTGGGAAGACCGCGGTCAGAACTGTGCTTTTAGAAAAGACCCTTGGGATTTTTCCATGGGGGTGGGCAGGCTCTGTAACCCAGACCACAAAAAAGACCGATAAATACGCCTCTCTTCTTAAAGGTGCCAAACAGTAAACAAGCGAGGGAGGGGTGCAGATTTCAAGTTGAGGACACGGACGCTAGAGGTGAGCCTGGCACTCAGAAGTAAGTGCGTCTGCGGCTTAGAAGAAACAGCCACAGAGCACACCTGTGATTTTAGTGGCCTCATGGAGGGAGAGGCGTCAGCCTTCAGACCAGCTCTAGACGGGGAGCCCAGTACCCCCACTAAGCTGGGACTCTTCAGGCCTCCCCTCACGGTTAGGGAGCACCCCAAGTGAAGAGTTCTGCGCACACACACACTCTGCCTTCCCTTCACCGGTGCCGTCCAGGGCACCACAGGCCTGGACCTTGGACCAAGGTGGTTACTGACAGGCAGCGTCTCCAGGCTCCAGATAGAGCAGAGAGAAGCCCTCTCTGGAGGAAGGTGGCATCATCTTATGCCTCAGGTTAGTCCCATAAATAATGTTTTACGTGCAAAACCCAGGACACCGTCAGATAATCGGGCACACAAGGAACTGACACCACTAACAGGAGTAAGCAGAAAAAAGGGAAACACCAGATATTGGAATTACAGACACAGACGATCAAATAACTAACTTCACTATGTTCAAAGAAATAAAAGGCCAGCTTTAAAATTTCATCAAGAGAGTGGCCAAAACAACCTTGGAAAAGAACAAAATTGGGAGTCTCACACTTCCTGATTTCAAAACTTACCCCAAAGCGACAGTAATCTAACCATGGTGGCATTGACATAAACACAGACAGATAGACCAATGGGATAGAATAGGGAGCTTAGAAATAAACCCTTGCACATATGGTCAAATGATTTTCAACAAGGGTGCCAAGACCATTCAATAAAAAAAGGACAGTCTTTTCAATAAAACTGGAAATTCACAAGCAAATTAATGAAGTTGGACCCTTATCTAACATCATATACAAAAATTAACTCAAAGTAGATCAAAGACCTAAACATAAGAGCTAAAAATTTAAAACTCAAAAGAAAAAAAGGGTAAAAGTTTCATGACATTGGATTTGGCAACGATTTCTTAGATTGCGACACCAAAGGCACAGGTAACAAAAGAAAAAAACAGACAAACTGGAGTTCATCAAAATTAAAAAAGTTTTGTGCATCAAAAAACACTATCAGCAGAATAAAAAGGCAACGCACAGATGGGAGAAAATGCTCGCAATCATATATCTATTAAGGGATTAATATCCAGGATGTATAGAAAACTCCTGCAACTCAACAGCAGTAGAACCCCAAACAACCTGATGCAAAAATGGGCAAAGGATTTGAATAGATGTTTCTCCAAAGAAGATACAGGAGTGGTCAACAAGCCCATGAAAAGATGCTCAACATCACTGATCATCAGGGAAATGAAAATCAAACCACAATGACCTGCCCCCCCACCCCCGCCAAACAAAAGCAAGTGTTGGTGAGGATGTGGGGACACGGGACCCCTGTGCACTGCTGCTGGGAGTGTAACCTGCACAGTGATTGTGGGAACAGTTAGTTGGCAGCGTTCTCCTTTTAGGGGTGCTGTGGGTTCAGAGGTCAGAGGACACGACAGAGCCCGCATCCCCACACCCTTCCAGAGAAACTCAGCAGAGTCCTGGAGGAGTGGACAGTCACAGCTGGAGCTGATACAGGTCCCAGTCCAGCAGCACCCCCTGCCTGTGGCAGGATCCAACTACGCCGCATTTAAAATTGGGGTGCTACTGGCCCAAGGTGAGAGCCTTGTGATTCTCTGGTCCAATATCCCCATTTGGGGCGGGTCAACTGGGACTTGACTACTAACAGGAAGGGCCCGGATGGAAATGTTACAGGTGCCGAGTGACCTTGGTTTACATGACCTGATGGCAGCGGCCTCTGGGAGCCTCATCTCTCTCTAGCATTCAGCGAAGCCATTCATTGGCTTCGTGGGCCATTGAGTCCCAGAGAGCCCCCTAAGAAGCTGCCTGGTTTGCGGATGGTCCAGCTAAGCCGGAACCTGACGGCGTCCACTGGGCGGCAGCAGGCATCCAGCCACAGCCCGGACGCGGTGAGCTCACCGACAGGCCAGCCAGCGCTGTGGGCAGAACTGGAAGCGTCACTCTGGCTGTGGGGTGCTTTCAGGACCAGATGTGCCCGATTTTTACTGCCCTTTGGTGAAGTCGGCGTCGCAGGCTGTTCTCTGAGGGCCACACAGTGGGTCTTGTTGCCCCTCTGAGCCACGTACGGTCTCTATCGCATACCCTTCTCCGTCCTTTTCGTTTTTACAGCCCTTTGAACATGCAGACGACATTCCTCGCTCACTGGCTGGGCCCTGGGCCAGGCTCCGGGGGCTGACCTCTGCAGACCCCTCATCTGACTGTGCCCCTTGCTCACGTGCTGCATGGAGCTCAGGGCTGAGTGGCGCGTCAGAGCCCTAATGGCCGCAAGGCCAAAACCATGTACCGAAAACCCTGCTGGCCTTGTCTGCCGGCTGGTCTGCCGCTTGGAAAAGCACAGCCTGGCACTAAGGACGCCCACTTTGGGCCGGCTAATGCAGGAACAAACTGGCCGCCGAGACACTCGTGTCTGGGTCACTTGTGTGGGCACTCACAGGAAGGGGTGTCCTCTGATGGCACTGACGGGGACCAAGCTTCCGATGGAGGTGCCCCCAGGTCACCACTGCCTCCTGGATCCGCCTCCTACCAGAAGCCCAGCCACCAGCATGGACCCGGAGAAGAAGGGTTGCGTGCTGCTGAGGCCACGTCAGCACCGGGCACTGGGCTTGTCTCCCATAGGCGCTGGCCTGCTTCGCTCCTCCCTGGGAAGGGCTTCTGACCCCTCCCAGGCCCGCCACTGGGGTCTCACTGCTCCAGCCAGGTCAGCCCGCCCGCCATACCACTTCCACCCTGATGACGTCCTGGATCGTTTGCGTGGCAGTGACATGTCCATAGTCTCCAAGGCCACTCCACACTGGCCAAGGCCAAGTGTCCAGTGAACATTCCACACTCCCCACTGTCCACAGGCATCTGGTACCGCTGGGTCCTGGGTGCCCAAGTCAACCTCAAAGCCTCTGCCCTGGTCACGTGCCTGGCTGGGAGGTTTGCTTACAGAATGTGCTGTCCTCACAAAGGGTTCGTCTTCATGGGCCGCCGCCTGGGTAATGATCAGGACAAAAGGGAGGGGCTGGTAGGGGACAGCAGGCCTATTCTGAGACTCCCCCCTCACCTCCCTGTGTGGCCCCTCTGTCCCCTCACAGCATCCCCAGGCCAGCCTGGTGGGGCCACGGGATTCCAGCTGGATGCTGGCTGGGCCCCCTGGGTTCTGTTGGACCGATGCGGTCTTGGTCATAGAGACACGGACCACTTGGCTAAGGACACTGCCTGCTGTCACCTACAGAGGTCCATGGTGAGGGTGTCTAAATCTTACACAAGGCCCCTGTTGTTTTTGCGCCTAAACCCTCCAGGTGTGAGTAGGGGTGTCCGGGGAGGAAGTTTGTAATAGTTACTGGGACGGGCACACTGGTCATGGCTGTGACAGGGGCCCTGAGCAGGGCGTGCGGGGTTGGGGGACAATGACTGCCCCTTGCTCACAGACCCAGCACCTGGCAGAGTCCCTTCGGCCCCCGGGTCAGGCAGCACCTGTATTGGGTTCTGCCATCGCTGTTTGTGCTACGGAAATGGAAAAACCACGGGGACATTGCCAGTCACAGCCTATTCTGCCGAGCCTGACACCAAACGTCGGCCCTGCGGTCCCCACAGGCAAACGCATGGACAGCACGACCTGCTTTAGTCTTAGGGACCCGAAGTCGTACTTGGTTTGGGGTTATGTCATGTGTGGTGACAGAGGCGCAAATGCTCGGTGACATGGCCCATGGATCGTAACCAAACCATGTCTGTGTGGCAGCGATCTACATCAAGGCCAATGACAGACCTCAAGCTGGAGTGGGCATGTGGGGGAGAGCGCCACAGGGCAGCTCTCCGTGGGGGTGAGGATTAGGAGACCACCATCCTGGTCTACCTTCAACTGAGGGGGTCTCTGGGACTGCCAGAGGGTTCTGGTAAAGCAGGATGAGATGGTTACCCTAATGGCCCATTTATTGCTTCTGTAACTACTGGCGATGAAATCAGATTAGCAGGACAGTCTGAACTTCTCGCATGGGTCAAATGGATAACAGCCTGGCCTGGGAAGTGAGGCCCGTGGGCATCTGTGGGACGTAGGCAGAGCTGGCTGC